GGCGAACGCTCACCTTTTGTTGCCCCGCTGCGTACGCACGGCCGAAGGGCAGTACGATGTCCTAGTGCGTGGCCTAGCTACGCCGACCCGTCTCTCTCCGAAGCCAACGCGAGCGCCTTTGCCCTCGCTCGAGCAACCGGGCCCTTTGTCCCGGTGTCTCCGTGGATCACCTTTACCGCGGAGACGTGCTCGTGGCACCCTGTGTAGTACTTTGTGCCCGTGGCGTGGATAAGCCTATTTGCTTTCCCGCCGCGCCTTTTTTGCAACGGGCTGTACTACGTTTGGTGTTGCCACAATAAAGTGTTGCGACTTGAGCAGTATCGTGTTCTCACCACGGCGACGGTTAACGCGTGCCCTGCGGCTCGCTAAGACCGAACCCACGCTGGTGGCCGTACTCCTTCGGGATACGTGTACACCACACTGGCGCCCAACGCGGTATCAAAAGATCTAGCTTTTGATTGCTCTTAGCGAGTCAGTTCGCCTGCGCGATTCGGGCTTGTCGCAACATGGCTGCTTCGCGGGACTTTTGTCCGCTGTCCCTTTTAGCGGATGCCGCGTTGCACACGGAGGCCATTGCCTCTGTTGACGGGAACCCTTCTGCACCCGTCCGTGTCGACACCCCCTATTGCGGTGACGACACGAGGCGCCTAGCCGCTCCCTTTGGAGATGGCGCGTCGCTTCGGAATGGGCCTCTTGCCCTACCCGAACGTTACACACAAGCGCCTCCGACTGCTAATGCGCCCTTCGGCATGCATGGCAGTTCGTCAGCACAGCGCTCGCAGTCGGTTCCCTGCGGAATTGACGGGGCCCTCGCCGACTTTTGCCCGCTATCAGCCGTGCAACCGACACTTCGAACGCACGCTGAGCAGGCGCCTGAATTGTCGATGGTAGCCGCACCAAGTGCGCCTTTGGTTCGACAACATGCAAATCCCACAAGGAGCCTATTTTGCTCTGGGAATGGCGCGCAGGGCGGTGGTCTGTTTAAACCGCCCAACTGATCGAGCTGGGCGACTGCTCGTCTTCGCTCGACCGCGCCGCTAACGCACCAACGGTTTCCTACGAAGCCGGTGCGACGACGCAGACTTTGCTGCAAAACGCCGTGCAGATGATCCAAGCACTCTCGGGAGCTGTGCAAACGCTTTCGGCTGGTCCGAAAAGCGGTCACCCCGCTGTTATGTTGCCTGTGCCAACCTACAGCGGATACGGTGATCAGCTCACCGCCCGAGATTACCTCGACTCTCTGTCACGTTATCAGAGAGCGATGGGTTTGGATGATAAGGTGGTGCTCGAACGTGTTGTTCCAGCTGCACTGACTGACACGGCGGCGAGGTGGTATCGGCTTTCCGGTTACCGTGCAGCAAACCTCGAGGAATTTTGTGCGGTCTTTTTGCGCGAATTCCTACCCGCTGACTACGAAAGTAGGATGCGGCGAGAGCTCGAGCTCCGTACACAAGCTCCTGACGAGTCTTGACAGGAGTATGTACGTGCGATGGATGAACTTATTTCTATCGCTGAGCCCCGAGCCTCGAACGAGGAACGCGTCGAACGGGTGATACGGCAGGCACATCCGACTTTTTCGGCATACCTGCGCGGCGGCCGCTTCAGTAATTTGGAAGCGTTGGCCGCCGAGGCGAAGCGCATCCAAGGCGACATTCTCGCCGCGCGTGCTTATCGCCCGCCGCCGCCAGCCAGCGATGCCCTTGAGCCGCGCTGCGCTTGGAGAGGGGCCATGACCCTTCCCCAACGGCAACAGCCTCTCGGCGCCGCCTTTGCGGCTGCAACCGGCTGCGCGTGGGAGTTGAGCGATCGCGCTCTTGACCCTTTTACGCATGAAAGGCGGGCAGCCTGCGCTGCTCCGCCTGAAACCTCCATACAGGAGCGCTTTTCGACCCAACGTAATGTTGGAGGTGCGGCTCGCAGAAACGTATCCTACAATAACGTAGCGAGCCGATCGCGACAGCTCGAAGCTGCTCCGTCTGGGAATACAGACCGTGATGGAGTGCGCTGTTACCGCTGCCGTGAAAGAGGGCACATAGCAAGGGAATGCACCGGATCCAGGCCTCCTGCGAGGCAGGGAAACGGGCTTCCGGGTCGTCCGTGAATGCACGACCGACCCAACCTTTGCTTCTTCCCTCTGCTTGCAGGGCAAGCACTTTTCTTGCTGATACGCACGCGCCGTTCATTCCGGTCACCATTGCCGGCCGTGAATTTTCGGCTTTGCTGGACACGGGCGCTAGCGCCTAGTTGTTTGGCGAACAGGTGTTGTCCCACTTGCAGAAGCACTCGGTGCGCTTGCGGGACAGCCGAACGACATTCACCCTTGCGAAAGGCGTGGCCCATTCGGCAGGCGCTGCAAGGTTGACTGTCAGATGGGGAGATCGAATGAGACCCTGCCGTCTTGTTCATCTTTCAGGGCTCAATGTTCCAGTGATTCTCGGTCGGGACTTTCTCCTTAAAACCGGTATCGTTGTGGACATTGCGAATGGCGGCTATCGTGATGGCCCATTTTGCCAACTCAAGCCGTTCATCAGCCCGCCGGCGCTTACCGTCGCCTTTGCGGCAGAAGCGTCGGAAACGTGCCCTGCGCAGAGTTCGGGGCCAAGCCCCCGCTCACCGCATTTGCCCTCTCGCAGTCCCCTTTGGGAACGAGAGGCGCGGCACGAATCGTGTCGTGCGCCAACTCCAGGGTCGTACCCTGGCATTCCACGCTCGTCGGCTCGAAACCCCTATGTGGATCGACCGACACGACACGAAGAGGCACTACATCCTTTGGTCGCCTGCGCGACTCGGTTGGATGAAGCACAGAAGGCTCGTCTGTCGACACTGTTATGTCAGTACGACGAGCTCTTCACCGATCAACCTGGCTGCACCGATTTTGTTAGCCATGTGATCGAAACTGGTGACGCGCTTCCTTTGAAGTGTAACCCCAGGTCCGTCAGTCTCGCCAAAAGGCAGATTATCGATGCGTTGTTAGATGACATGCTTGCGGCTGGCATTATTCGTCGCTCGTCTAGCTCCTGGGCGTCTCCAATTGTGCTAGTGCCTAAGAAAGATGGCAGTCATCGCCAGTGCGTCGACTATCGCCGTCTAAATGGAGTGACTCGTAAGGATGCCTATCCGCTCCCCACGATGAACTCCATCGTAGGTAACCTGGGTGATGCACGGTACTTTACCACGCTTGACGCCTCTAAAGGTTACCTACAGGTCCAGATGGGTAACCGTGACCAGTGTAAAACTGCGTTCACGTCCCACAGAGGGTTGTTCGAGTTTACTCGTATGCCCTTTGGTCTTTGCAATGCTCCTGCGACGTTTCAAAGACTCATGGACCGCGTCCTCGGGGAAGCAAAGTGGTCATACTGCATGTGCTACCTCGACGACATCGTGATGTATTCACGAACCATCAAAGAGCACTTGGCCCATGTTGCCGATGTGCTCGAGAGGGTGCGGACCGCCGGGATGACACTAAAAATGTGAAACGAGAAGTTAAACAAGCACCAACTCTATCCCATTTGTGAAAGTAGGAGAGAAATTTGTTGACTCTGCGGCCAAGAGGTGACTTGAATGTCGGCTGCGTATCAAGGCGACATAACCAACACTGCATGCCGATGTATTCTGAGGTGGCCATGGTAAGTGGTTTCGCAGTCCGCTAAGGCGCACTTTTGTTTTGTGCTCAGGAATGTAATTTCCCTCAAGTGTATCTACAACAGTCGTATGTGTAGGAAGTGAGACATAATGTAGCCTGTGTGAGAGGTGCAAACAAAATTCGGTCTTTGTTGAGTTTCACAGCTAGTTTGTGTCGTGACGATTCAATCTGCATGCTTTCAGGTTTATGGCATTCCAACTTTGTGTATTTAAAGCCTGCGCACTAAACTATGATTGAACAGTAAAACTGAAATGTGTTTCTCATATAGTCGACCAACTAGGCTCACCATATTATATAGTGTATTTAAGAAACAAGATACTTCAGGTTCGATTCGTGAATCAGACTATTTGAGAAGCCGGACTTTGATTCGTATTTGTATATTTGAGAGTTCACACACCCCTGAAGATTGTGATTGTGATAGGTGAGTGTTTGATGTGGGCATGTTTAATCTCAAAATGCATAAATGGCTGGTTTTCTTGGAATAATAATCCAGTTGGTAGTCAGCATTTATCATGGTTTTCATTTCTTTCTCATCCTTGTTCCTTTCACGCTCAAACTTTTCTACTCCAAATATGAACTGACTAGCCCTCACCAAAGTGGTCATTGATATAATCCCACCCTGGAAAGCAAAGAAAAAGAGTCAATTAGACAGCCGGCATCTTTTCAAGCGTGAGAAGCGATCATTAACCAAAGGGCATAACCAACACCAACTTCACCGCGCGAACATGCTCGAATGTGCAAGCGAAAGCCGGCCCTGCGCTTTGGAAAAAACAATAAGAATGATGAGACTGACATCGGTGCATGAAAAGTATTTCCTGTATTATGAAGTGTGGAAGCACGTGCCAAGCAAAAGAAATGATAGAAAAAGACTAAAAAGATAGAAAATACTGATATGATAGAAAAGATAGGAATACTGAAATGATAGAAAAGACTTTAAAGTTTTGAACATACGAGCAATGACTTGCATGTAGAATTATAAGCCCTTAAGGAGTTAACCAGCCAGTTTGTCTTACAGGCTTTTTCCCACAAGACAGAACATGTGTGTCAGTACTCCTTCAACAGCACTTTTATATCTAAAATATGATTTATAAACACGCCATACACAACACAAAGTTTTGTGAATTAATGTCTGTACTATGTATAACATTCAGTAAAAATTACTGGTCGTTTTCTGTCGTTGCAGTGCGTGTCAGTGGCATATAATGTCCATCCTTCCCTTAGCATAAATAAAGTGTTGTAAGTCAGCACTTTGTGTGTGTGTGTTCCTTGTCGCAGTCTTTCTCTATGTTCCCTTCAGTATTTAAAAAACACACCCAAGCTTTGACACTAGTAAATCACATTTGCAAAGCGCGCTAACCTCCAGGCGAACAATGATCTTGCGCTTGAGAGCATTGCTGGCTGCTACATTGGTGGCATGACGAAGCTCCTCCGCTGCTTTCCGCAGGGCTGCCTGGTTTTCCGAGTCATGAGGATTGCTGGCACAACCCTGCACACAGTCATTCATGTGATTCAAATTACTATTATTTCTTTGGTGCACATCTTGCTCCCAAGCTATGGTAAGCAACATTTTTTATTATGTTATGAGCTCCTAACAACAGCAGTAAAGCAAGTGACATTTTGCTTTTTGGAGCAGATTCTAGAGCAGAAAAATGGTGCTTTGGTGAGGCTTACGTGTCTTTGGAGCAGAAAAAAATGTTATAGCTTTAGGTTGCTGTTGGTGTTTTCAAAGCAGATGCATATTCGTAACGACTTCTGAAGTCTACAACATCTCTTCAGCATCTAATAAATATTTATATATATTAATAAACATGCTGTATGCTAGTATACAAGCTGTATGGTGGCATCATTCACGTTAAAGGACCTCAGGTGGTTTAAATTCTCGGAGCCCTTCACTACGGCATCTCTCATAATTATATGGTGGTTTTGGGGCGTTAGACCCCCATATCATAGTGACATCATTGGCGTAAAGCAGACTAAGTGGGGAGGACCGCCCTTGCAAGTGTCCCCCTCGAGATTTAGCTTTAGCATGTGATATTGGCACGCGCGTTTCATATTTACACCAATGGTTCATTCGGTTTTTGGCCACAAAGCCCATTTGGAATGATTAGCGCAAACTGCCCCTTGTTCCAGAAGGTTCACGATTATAGTAGATTGTTTTGTTAAGATTACGCCCACTTCGTGAAACATTTCAGATTATTCTCAAACCTAAGTCGCCGCTAGAAATAACGCGAGAATGTTAGATGGCAAGAGTATAAATGCGGACATGCTTCGCAGCTTGTCAGTTGATAGACGGCCAACGCTCTGCTCGCCCCTATTAGTGCCAGTGTCTTGCTGTAATCTGACTTGCTGTTTACGTGGCCACAAGTTTGGCTGAATAAACAGTTCCATCTTCAACCTACTGTCTGCTCCCTTCGTCGACGTCAAGAGCTCGTGACAATTAAATTGAGTTAACAGGCGTTATCTTTTTTACTGCGTACCTGTGTTAAATGCCCTCAGTTGTGTGAATTGTGGAAATCGAAAGAAAGAGACTGAATAGAACAATGCAATTGCTCAAGCTCAGACCCCATACTCGTTTTTTTAAATTTTATTGGAAAGCATGATTTAATTCTTACATAAAAAAATATGCAACCCATATTAAAATTATGAATTGGCAACCATGGCCCGATATGTGTCACCCTTCGTGATATTTCTGGATTTACGCCAATGAGTACGTAGCATACTAGGATTAGAGTGCATAGAGCTTGCTTTTGATTTCGCTTAGGCTCACTGGGTGATTTCATGGTTGAACTTCATTCTTTTTAGTTTGACACCATTTTGGAGCAGGTTTGAAGCAGTTACTAGCAAACATTGCACTTAGGAGCAGCATTTCTTTTTTGGAGCAATTTGGAGCAGTTGGAGCAGCACTTCCATCACTTCAACAGGTACTTTTGGTAGCGAAGCTGTCTGCCACCACTGTCAGTATCTGTTTCAGCAATTGCACAAAATGTGAAAAAAAATATATATATATAAGAAGGAAGTGGTTTAAAGGGAATCAACCAAGGCAGCCGACGTGGCAAGTGTTCTGGCATCCACTCACCAAAAAATATCTCCTTTTGAAGTGTTCTTCCACAAAGCCATGTTAGTGCTTGAAGCATTACCATATTTATTCGAATCTAGGCCAATAGTCTTTTTTTCATATTTTTTTTTGTATAAAACTCCTGGGTCAACGTAGATTCGAGGATTTCGAAAAACTCGCCATTTTTCATTGAGCAGAATGGCGCACAAGTAGCGCCATCTAGACTTTACTGTAGCTGTTCGCAGCTAAGCCAACACATGGCTTCAGTACAGTGGTTAGAATAGGAAAGTGTGATGAACGCGCCGGCTAGCCCGTAACGCATTGGGAGGAAGCCCCCAGATGGCGCTGGCATACGTTTGCACAGGCGTTCAGGCTGTCAAGGTGGATGGACGTGTTTTTTGAGCGCTCCGGATCGACTGCGCAGATAAGTGTTTTTGCATGTTTTGAGCTTGTCTCTATAATTATAAGGCAGCGGTTGAAATCTTCGTAGCACTTATTTTATGGTACGGCTTTTTCGGGGGCCAGTCACCAGGTATTTATTAGTTAGTGCGGGTGTGTGTGTTTGAATTTTTTTGTTGTTTTTTTTTCTTTTGCCACCCCGTTGGGGAAGTGCGCGTTCATTGAACACGCAAATTTTTGTAGTAGAGCTTGGACTTTGTTTTTTTTTTTTTCGTAGTGCAGGGCTCGAGTTTAGTAATTATCGAGTATAGGGACAATTGGTGTCAGAAAGGCATGGTTAAAAAGACTGTAAAGTGTTCAGGATGTGGAGTGGGTTTGAAAGTGGACCCAAGCGTAGAAGCGGATGGAGAAGAGGCTGACGCGAAGTGTAGGCAATGTGAAGTCGAGGAAAAAATGGAGAAAATGATGGTTGCCCAGAGTGAACTGCTGATGAGAATCGCCCAACTCGAGACTGCGTTGGCGACAGAGCAAGAAAAAACGAGGGCAATGGGAGAAAGACTGAAGTCCGCCGAGGAAGTGCTAGCGAAGCTGAACAAAGAAGCGACCTACCGAGAGAACAGTAGGGAACCGGCAACCAGAACGGTGGAGAAGGAAAAGCAAGCAAGCTTGGAAAAAACAGGTTTAGCCGGTTCAACTGTCGCAAGGCCCAGCTTCAGCGAGGTAGTGGTGGGGCAGGAAGGGAACAAAAGAGCCGGCGTCACAGGTGCAAGTAGCCCCCAGGTGCAGAACGCTCCAGCGGAAAAGTCACAGCATGTGATAATCGCCGGGGACTCAAATTTAAATCGATGCACAGAAGCCATCAAAGAGAGGGTAAGAGGTGACAAGAGGGTTGCAGTAGGGGCGTTCCCAGGACGCAAGCTGGAAGCAGTCATGAAGCAAGCGAGCGCAAAGCTCAAAACGACAGCTGATAGACGCAACCTCGTGATAATTTCAGGCGGTTTAAACGATGTCCTAAATGAAGATGCAGCAGGACTAGCAGCCACACTGGCGAAAGGCGTCGATGACATGCGCGCCACTTCTTTTAAGGTGCAGGTAGTGATATGCACGATACCGGAGGTACCGGTGCGTGATAGCAACCTGCAAAGAGCGGTGGTCAACGCAAACCAAGAGATATGGCGGATGAGTCGAGAGAAAGGCTTTGAGGTGGTGGAAATAAACAGAGAGGTGCATAGGTGGGGGGGTTTTCAACGAGACAGAATTCACTTCGATGGGCGGCTAGGTCATGAGGTGGGTTGGCGACTTGCAGGACGCGCAGTAGCTTTTTTGGGGGGCAAGCGAGCCCTTCGGGGTGCAGGATAGCTAGTAACGAGGAAAACAACCAGGGAGACTCTTCGACAGGTGGTATGGACAGATACGATTCCAAAGTGGCACCAATATCTAAGATACGTAGAGTCCGGGGCATAAATAGACGTAGCCACGAGCGCCGAGCCAATTCAGACATAGGGTATATTAACATGCAGGGTGGTAAGAACAGGCTGAAGTGGGAAGAGATAGAAGAACAGCTAAGGGAAGAGAGGCCGATGGTATACGGTTTTGTAGAAACACATCTCAGGGACATGGAACAACCTCCGAACAATCCGGACTACGCGTGGGAGTATTGTAATAGAACAGAAGGCAGCAGAAAGGGGGGTGGTATTGGGGCATTCATTCATAAAAGTACAGACTGGCAAAGGGTCAAGCAGGAGTGCAAGGAACATTTATGGCTAAAAGGGAAAGTGGCAGGTCAAATGACACTCCTTGGTTTCGTGTACTTGTGGACGGGAGCAAAGGCCAGAGAGGAAAACCAGGCAATGGTAGAGTGTATATCAAAGGACATTCAGGAGTTAGGAAGAGAGTGCGAGATAATTATACTAGGAGACATGAATGCGCACATAGAAGATATAGATGGGTATACCGACCCGACCGGCAAAATGATCATGGATATGTGTGAAAGGCTTGATTTGATCATTTGCAACAGTACCGAGAAGTGTGAAGGGCAAATAACATGGGAGGTAGGAAGGCTTCAGTCGACGATAGATTATGCACTGATGTCACATAGGATGTATGATAAGCTCAGGGAAATGCACATAGATGAAGGTGGCTCCAGAAGTCTGGGTAGCGATCACAAACGTATCAAGCTAAGTTTTGGAAGAGCAGTGAAAGTGGGAAGAAGACAAGATGAGCAACTACAGGAAAATTTTTATCCAGAAAGTCAAATTGAAATAGCCACTAAACAAATTGAGAAAGTAATCACGGAGGATAATAAGACAGTGTGGACATACACGAATATAATTAGACTCTTTGAGATAGAGCTTGCTAAGACGCGTGACAAGTCACCCCGGAAAAGAAGACACAAACCCAAAAGTTGGTGGGATGAGGAAGTTAAGAGAGCCATAGCAAAACGTCAGGAAGCCTCTAGGGAACACAGACATGCTAAGCAGCGGGGTGAACCGACAGATGATGTGGAAAGAAAATGGGCAACCTTTCTAGGCTGTAGAAGGGATGCATCCCTTCTGATCAATGAAAAGATTAGAAGGAAGGGAGCTCAGTGGCTGGCAGAAGTACATAAAAAAGATAGAAAGGCAGCTGCGAAATTTTGGAACCATCTAAACTCCCTAAGAAATGAGACGAGCCTAGAGCAGAACTTTATAACTACAGCCCAAGGTGCTAGGCTAGAAGGGGATGAAGCTATTGAATATATAAGAACAAGGGTGACAGAAAAATTTCAACAAAGAAGTACTTTATGCACCACAATAGACAAAGATGAATCAAGTGGTGCAATGGCTCCATTTTCACAACAAGAGTGGGAAAGGGCTGAGAAAAGGGTTCCTAGTAGTACATCAACAGGCCCAGATGGCATTCCAATTACGCTGATAAAAACATTAGGTCTGAAGTCTAAGCAGGCTCTGAGAGAGGCAGTGAGTACAATAATAATCGATGGTGAAGTTCCCGATGGATGGAAACTTAGCAGGATGAGCATGATCTATAAAGGA